TAGGGGAGAGTTTTCTGCTATGAGGTCACTGTATGACAGGATTAACACACTGGCAAGGGAAAAAGATGCTTCTAATGGATGCTGGAACAGTTTTTGAAGCTTGGAAAAAGCATTGGTTCTCATTTAAAAAATGGAGATAGCAGAACTGCCACGACAAATGAGGACGGGATCAAAAGAAGTGGATATACAAGAAGGGAGAACAAGTATCATGGAGATGGCCAATAGTGGCTGTCCCTAGGCGAGAGCTGGCTGCAAGAGGTGCTGTTAGGGAACTGGGCTCTCTAGTTGCAATGGGAATGATAGGATCTCAGAATAATGGCAGCAGCCAGGTGATAGCTCTTGGCATCAAAAGCAAGGAGAGCCATAACTACCATATGGGTAGAAGGTTTATAATAGTATCTGCGGAGATTGATCTTCAGAAATCTATGGTTCTGGCTCATAGCACGAGTTTGCCAATGGCAAGTCATCTGCTGCCAATAAGAGTAAACTGAGACAATGTGTTGCTCTGTAGACCAGGCAGGAGTGCATGGCATGATCACAGCTCACTGCAACCTTGAACTCCTGGGCTCAAATGATGATCCTCTCACCTCAGCCTCCCAAGTAGTTGGGATACAGGCACATGCCACCACACCTGGCTAATTTTTCTGTTTCTTTTAGAGATGGGGTCTCCCTTTGTTGCCCAGGCTTGTCTAGAACTCATGGTATCAAGTGATCCTCCTGCCTCAGCCTCCCAGTGTTGGAATTACAGGTGGGAGCCATAGTGCCTGGCCCAAACTTAATTAAAAAACCAGAGAAGGCAAGGTGCAGTGGCTCACACCTGTAATCCCAGGACTTTGTGAGGCCAAAGTGGGAGAATTACTTGAGCCCAGGAAATTGAGACCATCCTGGGCAACATAAGAAAACCCTGTATCTACGAAACAATTTTTAAAAAATAAGCCTGGTGTGGTGGCACATGCCTGTGGTCCCAGCTGTTCAGGAAGCTGAGGTAGGAAGACTGCTTGAAGGGGAGGTTGAGGCTTCAGTGAGCCATGGCTGTGCCACTGCACTCCAGTTTCAGATGCCATCTCAAAATAAAAATAAGAAAAACATAGGTGCTGTGGCCATACAGTCTCTGTTGCAACTACTCAGCTCTGCTGTAGTGAAGCCAAAGCAGTTGTAGACCATAAATGCAATGTGTCACATTCAGACTTTATAAAGCAGGCAGCAGGCTGGTTTTGGTTTTTAGACCGTGCACTAGGCAAAATGGGATATTATGTAAAAATAAAGGTATAATTCCTAAATAGAGGGTTAGTAGTGTGTCCCTGTAAGTCAAACAATTTAAATTAAAAAGCATAAATGTCTGGAAACTCAAGGTGTTGGCAAAAATGTTTTAGGAAATTCTGATCCAGCATACCAAATTATATAAAAACAAGGAGATTTTTACCATTGCAATCTAGTGGCTTAAAGGACTTATTTAGAAACTTGTATCCAAAAATGCAGAATACATATTTTTTCAGTGTTCATGGAACATATATAGAAATCAATCTTGTACTTAACCACAAAAAAATAAATAAATAAAGGTCAAATTGGGCGGCACACTGGCTCATGCCTGTAATCCCAGCACTTACAGGGAGTGCTGGGAGGCCGAGGTGGGTGGATCACAAGGTCAGGAGATCCAGACCATCCTGGCCAACATGGTGAAACCTCATCTCTACTAAAAATACAAAAACTAGCTGGGTGTGGTAGCACGCACCTGTAGTCCCAGCTACTGGGGAGATTGGGGCAGGAGAATCACTTGAACGCAGGAGGGAGAGGTTGTGCCACTGTACTGCAGTCTGGTGACAGAGTGAGACTCCATATCCAAAAAAAAAAGTAAAATTCAAAAAAGTAGATAACTTCAGGCCACATTTACCAACCATAATAAAATTAAATTTGATATTATATCACTTAGGATGCTTTTGGCTACGAATTTACGAAATACTCAACTAAAAGTGAGCAATCAAGGTTTATTTTTCTTACATAACAAGGCATCAAAAAGGCAGTTCCAGAATTGGCCTAGTAGCTGGAGTCTTAGGCTCTGGGTCGGCTTCTCTGAGGTCCACTTTCTTCTCTTCTTGGTTGCAAGATAGCTGTAGCAGCTCCAGGCATCATGTTCTCATAGAAAAATGTTTAAAAGCAGGAAGCGAGAGAGGAGGAAGTCTTCATGATAAACCTGTCTCTTCCAAATGAGGAAAACCTTTCCCAGAAGCCCTGGCAGATCCCACTGAGCAACACTGGGAGATACTGGCCATCCTGTGCTGCACCGGAGACTGGAAAATTACCATCTGATATCCTCAGAGTCTAAGGCAAGACACAGATGCTGCCAATAACAAGGGGAATTGGGTATGGCTGCTGGGATGGCAATCAATGGTTGTGCCAGTCACATAAAACAATATACCAATTTGGAAATTAAGATATATTCTCCTAAATTTAGATTATTTCTGGATCAGAAAGAAACAAAAACCAAGATTACTGTAAGATGGTAGCTTTATCATTTTCTGTT